GAGAGAAATGTTCATTTTGTGTCAGCTTGTAGCTCGTTACAGCATTGTTGCTGATGTCTGCATCCACAGCTACAGGGAGTGGAAATCTTTCCCCTGGCGACATCGATTCTGAAATATCCAACACATGCGAGTGCTCTTCAAATAATGGCGGGTTATCATTTACGTCTAGAATATGTATCTCTATCCTGTGCACATTCATTGGATTGTTTAAAGCAGCTTGTATTTTGATGGAGCATTTATCCACATGAGGACAAAGCTCCTCTCTGTCTATCCTGTCAGAGACAAAAAGGTTCCCCGTGCGTAAATTCACATCAAAGTACGTCTTACTGAAACTCGATACGATGCGTAAATCTCTGGTCTCCAGATTCTGTATGTTCAGATTTAAATCCTTTGCAATGTTGCCCACTACTGTCCCTTTGTTCAGCTCCTCGGAGATCGAATAGGTTAACTGCGAGGCAGAGCAGTCACAAAGACAAAGCAGCGCGAGCAAAAAAATCCAGGCGGATCCGTCTCGACTTCCAAAAAACATTGTTGATGTGGGATAGAAACATCAAGGTGCAGAATATTATTCCATAATGAATAGCTTCCTTTTTTGGGTGTGATTATATCTCAGACTTCTGCTCTTTCTAGAGTACAAACGAGAGTGAAGGCAACTGATGGTGGACGACGGGTTTTTCCTCTCTCTCCCTACACATTGGATTGGTTGCGCAAGAGCAAACTAGTTCAGTCTAACGGTCTCGAGCGACCTCTTGTGGTAACAATTAGACACCGTCTCAAGTATGTTGCATTCAATAAAACTGCAACACATGCTGACCTACTAACTACTTTGTTTTCTTCTTATTGTTATTCTTTCAGCTTTTCTCTCTTAAGGGGTCACCACATGGAATCATTCTCCATCTCAGTCTGTCTTCTGCATCCTCTGACTTTACTCCATATCTTCTCTAAACACATCGATATTTCTCCTCTGTCTTTTCCTGGCAGATACATTTATAACATCCGTCTACTAATATACCAACTGTCCCTCCTCTGGACATGTCTGAAACATCTCAGTCTGGCCTCTCAAATTGTATCTTTCATTCTTCAACCTATATTGTACCTCTGATGATCTCATTCCTAATCGTATGCATCTTTATCACTCATAGGAGAACCACAACATCTTAATTTATGTTACTTCAAATTCTTATGTCATTTTGTCAGTGTCAGTGACTCAATACACACTATAGCAGGTCTCACTGTTGGGAATGTTGCCTTTGTCTTTTGCTGACACCCATTTGTCACAAATCACTCTTAAAACTTTTCTCCATCCAATCCATCCTGCCTGGATGCTTTTTTTTTTTTTTAACATTCTAGTTCCATTATATATACTAAAAATGTATAAATATATATATATATATATATATATATATATATATGTGAAAAAAAACTTCACTTCACTCAATTAAACATGCATGACATAAACAAATAAAGGACAACTATCTATTTAAGAATGGTATCTTACAATTGAAAAACGTGGTGAGAAATTAATAAAAATCAAGTACTGTAATTGAACAAAATCTTTTCACAGTATCGTTAGACATAAATAAACGTACAATTATAATTACTATAATAATACAAAATTGCAGGCTATTTTATCAAAAGATAGTTTTATTAGACCAAAATAAACAATTGGTATGTTGCGACTTCAGTACCAAGGAGAGCGTAATTAAACCACATTGCGAATTAAAATGGATTGATTCTATATAGCTAATGTGATTAAAGAAAACAAATTACTGAATAAAAATATTTTCACATGTTCTATTTTTCAAAACTATAGTTAATAGGTAAGTTTAAATCTGGTATTGTTAGAAAAACTAAAATAAAACAAACAAATTGAAGAAAATAGCTCAAAAATACCCCTCTTTGCATTTCCATAATACTAGCCTGTACATGTATACTGTATGACAAAATCTGTTTGTATTTATATACCCCTCTTCAAAAAAAACAAAATCTAATTGGGTTTCTGATTAAAAGAAGGTGATTGTGGCCTATGATAGTCACTGTGGTTGTTTAAGATAAAAATGTTTCATTGGCTGGAATCAGCATATACTGTACACAGTCTGAAGTTTTATATTTTTCTGAAGCCGATAGGTGAGGACCTAAATCTAATCCTAAATATGTCTATTAAAATGCAGAATTGTATTTATTAAGAGTCCTGGGCATGTCTTATAAAAACAAAGCTAAAAAAGCAGGTAAATATCAAACCAACTGATGCCATAAAGCACATCCACAAACAGAAAAAAAGCTATCAAAGTTCCACATTGCACACTTCTTACAGAAAACATTCAAAGCACAGATATCAATGGCTGCCTACCTTGTCAGAGTTAGGTAAAGTCTGAGTTCTGGTAAAAATGTCTCCTCCGTTAATACTGATGAGTTCAGCATCTACAGGTGGAAACGCTGCAGGGAAAACCACTACATCACTCTTCAGTGTGTCTGAGCTGAAACACAC